TTGCAAGAAAATGAATGAAAAGTTTTTTATTTGAATGAAAGTGGAATACTTATTTTAATTATTGTAATTATTTATATATTTTAATAAATGATTTATAGGTAAATGCGTATACGTACATGTTTTTTATATATGTATACATTCGTCACTATTTATTCGATAGATAAGTTTGCTATGTATCTGTGTAACATTTAAATCTGTCTACATTTGATTATATTTATTATAAAACTATTAAAATGCATCGTCATCATCCCTTATTGCAAAACGATGAGCTATATTCTCAATATCATAGTCTGATAAAATCCTTTATCCTAGGAATTCAACAGGAAGTTCATCCGATTAAGAAATTTCTTGGTGACCGAAAAAAAGAAGTTATCAAAGAAATTAGGTTGGTTAATAATTTTCGTAGAAAGAATAATTAATTACAGACATTAAAAGTATACTAAAGAACTTTATAAAAATACGAGTACTTACCTCTGACTATAAATGTTAATAAATAAATGTAAATGAGAAAATGTTTGATGTACACACAATTTTAACATACATAATTTAAAAATAATTGTTTAAAAATAATGCTTATATAATATTACCATCCCTTTCTGCAAATAGTATAGAAAGAGAACCCAGTAAACACACCACGTTAGAATTCACGCGAACGTACTTCAACGAAACGATAAAGGAGCTCCAAAATATAGAACAAGCATGCGAGGATTGTCTTGGACGTATAAACATAGATTTACTGACGGCAACGAAGAGTCGCATGCAACCACCGTCTTACTTACACCCGGAAGAGTTGCGAATGGCTTACGAAATAAGCTGCAGCGCGTTCAGGCAAACGGAAGACGAGACTTCGTGCCACTGCACCTGGGAGAACAAACCGACGTGGGATCTCGACGACATTCAAGACATCCTAATTAAACCAGCTAAAATGATACGCACGGAATACGACGAGTACGACATAAAATTCGTGGAGGATATCATTTACCTCAGGACGAAAATGTTCTCCTTACCGAGAAAACGAATCGACTTGTAGGTCGCCCGATACTCGTTCGTTATCCTCTTTTCTTTGCGATCGGAGAATGACTTGCAACCAAAAGTACAAGTACAGTAGGGTTGCTCTGACTCCAAGTATTTTTTAGTACTAGCGGCATGGAAATTCTTGCCAGACCTGGCAGTCGTTTAGCAAGCATTCAATTATCATTGCGCACATCGGAATTCCTCGCAATCCTTGCAGAAAGGGATCAGCCGATGGTTTTCAATCCAGAGAATGAATTATCCAAAATATCTACTTTGAGATTCATCGATGGGAACTTCATCAGCTGCGAGATTTGGATGAAGCTTCTGGACCTTCACGGGAACCAGTACGGATCGAAGTGGTATTTGGTGCTGCGTCCGCAGATCGAAAAAATTTTAAAAAAACGCTTGGTACCAATGCTACACTTGAATCCACGTGTTACATACGATTTTATCTCGACGATCACGAAGTATTCGAATTTTATATTAATGAAAGCGGACTTAATTAATATGTTGAGTGATAAATCCGAAGCTGTCTGGTTACGTACTTGGGAGTTACAGTTTCAAATGGCGGAAGGGAAGGAAATAGCTGCGACGATTATACAAGCCACTTGGCGTGGCTATTGGGTAAACGATGTTCCTTTCATTGATAATAATAATAATATCCAGAATTCGTGATCTACTTCATTCGCTCTTGAAAATATTCGTTCTTAACCAGATGCGCAGGAGGATAGCGCACTCGGGGCGTATGTACATAGCTGCCAGTCTTCTATGGTGCGCTTGGCTCGGGTTGAAAGAGAAGACAGAAATGCATAAGCGTTATCTAAAGAAAATGTTGATTTCGTTGCAAACCACTCGAGACCTTACTTCAAAGCTCAGCCGAGAATACGATTCGTTAATTCGTCAGCCGCACGTGGTAATTCATCTGCCGTCCATCGGTTTTTCGACGGACATACGTCGAATGTTGAATCCGAAAATGTTCAGCATCTACCAGAACATCACGATCTTTCGAATGTGCTTCGTGGGCAATCCGTACGCCGAGGTGATCTATATTTTGCCCGTGAACCCTACTCGGGATTTGCTATTGATGTACAGCGACTTCATCGAGTCGATGTCTCCCCATGAGAACGTCGCGAAGCGGATCACATTTATAGCCCTCTCGCAAGCGGAAACGTTTAAAAATCGCACCCTGAACGTGTCTAGGATCCTCCATTGTTCCGAGGACTCCCTCACCGAAATCAAGAAGAAGATCAAGGGCAAGAAGGCTTACTTCCTGCCGTGCATCGTCGACGAATGCGACATGAGATTGGCCGCTAATCTCAGAGTTCCCCTGTTAGCCTCTGACATGGAGTTGCAACGAGATTTCGTGAACGTCTCGAACATGTCCGAACTGATCGAGACTCTCGGCCTGTTGCAGCCACCGCATAAAAGGAACATAACCGATTTTGATACACTATGTTCATCTCTGGCTGAATTAATGGTCCTCCACACCGAGGTCAGCGTTTGGATGTTCAAAGTTAACTACGGAGTGGTCCAGAAATTCAATGGGACTTTTCTGATAAATCATATAAGCATCCCGTTTATGCCGATACTGCGGCGGGAGCGAGAGCGGTACGGAGACGATTGGCTCGTGCAGTCTGATTTGAGGAAAGAGTTCGTTGAAAGAATGAAAGAACATCTACCGAAAGTTATACCGAATCTGACTCGATTGTCAAAAATTTTTAAATCTTGGAAACAATTCTATGGATTCATTCAGAAATACGGCTGCCTGCTACAGGCTGTTCCAGTGGAGGACAATCCTAAGACCATCTTAGCTTCGATGTTCGTTCCGGGGAAGGCAAGTCACAAAGAACCAAGATGGTTGGGAACCGCGGATAAAATCAATCTAGGTATTATACTATAACCCTTGTTTAATGCGACTTGGTACTAAGACAAAAATAGACGAATTAGTACTAAGAGACAACAGGAAAATTAGCTTCTTTATGAATGTATTCATTTTAAAACAGAGACTACATATTCGACGATAATTTATATGTTGCCGCAAACCTCGTTCGATATCAAACGGATACAGCCGACTGTAAATAAAATGGCCAAAGGTCTGCAAGATAGGGGCTATTTCGGTTATTTAGCGGTCGATTGCTATTGCTACTTAGAAAAGCGGAACGAGAAATTGATGATACTGCTGTTGAATGTGAATCCTCATTATAATTTCTCGCAAAGTTACGTCGACTGGATGCAGTTTGCAATTGGAGGAATGTACAGGTAGATAAAAATGTAGACTCTTTCATCTAACGTACTTAAGGATGCATAGGCTATATACTTAAACAATGCAACTAAAAAATTCCTATTACTATTAAAAAGCTACCTGCAAAATTTTCAATCAATTCATGGGATTTTTGAAAAATTTTAGTGACTTAAAATTTGCATGTACTCTTATGGTAATCAGCAGTAACCCAAAGAAAACTTTCTAGTACTTGGTGTGCACGCGCGAAGTTAGAAGAAACAACTGACTTGAGGAGATACAAGCCTAAAAAAATCTGAAATTTTTGACGCTTTTTAGAATATACTTC